GCTCTTGGCTTGAATCTGAGCTCCACCACACACTTCCTCTCTGTGAGACTGTTTTCTCACTTGTGAAATGGGGCTAAAAGTAGTACTGACCACAAAGTCCCTGGTACTTGATAAAGGCTAGGCAGGACCACTTGTAGTTACCCAGAAATGTTTTTGGACCCTAGGTCTTTGATGCTGCTATTCCTTCTACCAAATAAGTTCTCTACTCTTCTAGTCTAGCGAACTCCTCCCCAGCATTTCTTTCGTGAAGCTTTTTCTGATGTCTACAGCCTGAGGCTGGTGGCCACTCCCCTCCTCCTCAGAGTTCCTATGGTATCCAGTGCCACCTCTATTATAGCCATTATCATGAACTTGGGATGAAGTCTCTGTGTTCCTCACTGAGCTTGTCGGCAGGACAGCTCTGATTCATTATAGGGACTGTTATCACCAACTAAAGTACTGACCAGGGACTGGGACTTTAACTATTAAACTTTTATCTATGTGCCCCATCCCCCCTTCTAAATGTGTGGGCTCAGTTCATATCGGTCATTTCACATAGCAGAGGCCCAGGGTCCCTTCAGCAAATGACAACCCCCTCCCCCACAACCCCACAAGTGTAAGAGCTAATTTTCCAAATTCAATTTCCACCTTCTCCATCTCTTCTTCAACACATGTGTTAATGCCAGAGGGCAGTTTACAGCCTGGCACATACACGTTACTCCTATTAAGTTCCCAGAGGGCAGGGATTTTAGTCTGTTCATCACTGAGATATTTCCAATGCCAGGAACAATGCTTAGCACACCTTAGGCACTGAGGAGATATTTAGTGAATGACTAATCCTTCCAGGAAGTGAGGACCTGAATATTCAACTGTCCCAGTGCACATTCCACCTCCCCACCAGGCCAACTCTCCTAGGATGTGAACTCCCACAGAAACAGCCCAGCACTGGACCCTGCCTTCAGTTGGTGCCCAATAAATGCTCCTTGAGTAAATAATTCACAAAAGCCCAGGAGCTAAACTGTCCTTAACTCCCTCACTAATTTTTGAGTTGCCAGGGCCTGAGAGTTTAATTTTTTCTTGTTTTACAGTCCTACTCTAAACAGAGAACTCCTCTAGGAGGAGGTCCAGTGCCTGGTGTGAAGTTTATGCAAAGTAGTACCCAGTAAAGGTCTTTCTAGAAGGTAACCTGAAAGACCTAACATTTGGATTTTCCTCGTTTACATCCCCCACTTCCCAATCATGGATTGTAAACTATTGGGGGGAGGAATGGGGGAGTAGACCAGTAAGTCCTTCCAGGAAAGAACCCACCAGGGGCCTGGAAGTTCAACTTTCTCGCTGCACAGCTACACATCCCTCTTCTCTGACCAGACGTATCAACTCTGCAACCTAAGCGCTCCCGGCAAAGTGTCGGGGAACGGCGAGCTCCAGTGCAGGGTCCGGCACTCCACCGGCGCTCAATCAATGAATGCTCCAGGGCACATAGGAAGGAGCGCCGTCCTTCCACTCCGCGCCGCTCCCGCCATAGCGCAGGCCCCAAAGCTCTTCGACCTCCAGGGTCCCCTTCGTCTCCCTCCATCCTCTCTGTTGGCCCAGCGCTCTCTTCACCCGCCCGCCCCGCGGCGCGGTGACCCTCACCCGTCTCTCTCGTCTCCTGCAGCCCCCGCCGCTCTTGACACAGACCCTCGGCTCCCGGTGTGCGGCACCCCTCACCATCCACACCTCCCATTGGGCGGCGCCCTTACCCGTGGCGGCCAATCAGAGCCGGCAGCGTAGGGCACGCGCCCTTGAGCCTGCGTGTTGAAGCTCAGGCGGGGCTCGGCGAGTATCTCCACGCACACACGACCGTGCCCTGTGGGCCGGGCTCCGGGCTCGGAGATGCGCCTGCGCAGTTCTCCCCGGCCGCCGCGTGGGTGCCAAGGCTGCTGGTGGAGACGGGTGCGCGCGATTGAAGTGAGGGCCCACGGAGGGGACTGGGCGGCCTGAGGCCTTGACGGAGGTGTCATAGCTGAAAAGATCGAGCGTCTCTGAGAACACAGCACTGGAGCCAGACGCGCTTGGAGTACTTCTCTCTGGGCCTCACTTTTACTCCTGTGTAAAATGGCCTTGAGTCATAGGCAAGGTTATTGAGGGAACTGGATGAAATCAAACACAGAAACTGGCCGGTGTGGCTTAATGGTTGAGTCTCGACCTACGAACCAAGAGGTCACAGTTCGATTCCCGGTCAGGGCACATGCCTGGGTTGCAGGCTCTCTCATCCATTTTTCTACCTCTCCCTTCCTCTCTCAAATAAATAACATATTTTGGCCCTGGCCGGGTAACTCAATTGGTAAGAGCATTGTCCTGATGTGCCAAGGTTGCGGGTTTGATCCCCAATAAGAAGCAACCAATGAAAGCATAAATAAGTGAAACAACAAAATCGAGGTCTCTCTCTCTCTCTCTCTCTCTCTCATAAAAAACAAATAGTACTCGTTTTGGTAGCACATATACTAAAACTGGAATGATACAGAGAAGATTAGCATGGCCCCTGCACAAGGATGACGCGCAAATTCCTGAAGCGTTCCATATTTTTAAGACATGGCCTTGTTTTCCTGAATTGATTAGATGACTCTATATGTTTTTGATTGATTAAAGCATAATCTTCATTTTATAAGCTTAAAAAAATAAAAATAAATAAAAAATAAAACCCGCTCAGTACGGGGTCTGATACACCGTGGCTGCTCACTATAACCCATTCAACATGGACATACTCCTTCCCAGTCTGCGTTCCCTTCCCTCCCACTCTTCGGTTGGTTTAATGATATCCACTTATTGGGCGCCAATGTGTGTCCGACCCAGGACGGGCTTCAACAGGTTACAACTGCCATCAGAAAGAGGAAGGGACTCTTCCGAGGTCTCTGCGGCAGCCCAAGCAAAACCACTGCTGGCCGAGCCAGTGCCTGGCAGGACCTAGGTCTCCTGCTTCTCCAGGGGAGATAATGATGGGGTGGGAACCGGGCTTAAGGCAGGTGTGGCCATGATCTTGAGTGACCTAAGTGTGGGGGCGGGGCGGGGGCAAGCAGCCTGCACGCCAACTCTTTTGATAAGGGACCTGCTCTCCCCAGAGAGAAACTCATAGGTGCAGGTTAGAGAGGGGACATTGGGAGATCCCGTGACCTTGGAGGGCAGATAGATACTAGAAGGGGTTATAAGAGGCAGCGGGGTTCCTGGTGGATGCCGGCAGGAGGTGCACAGCTGGGATGGAGGGGCCTATTGCAATCAGGAAGGAAGTATTGGGTCCTACCATGAGATTGAGGAGTCCTTGTCTTGATCAGGGGAAGGAACTTATAGGTGGGTGTTGGGGTTCTGTTGGATAGAGCCCAAGTCTTGATCATAAGGGCTTGGGCACTACTCAGACAGGAAGGTCGGCGGTGACTGTGGTCTTTTGCTATGGGCAGTGGTACTGTGGGTGTCTAAACTGTGATTAGGAGGGGCTGTTGTAGTCCAGGAGATGAGTAATGGCGTGGGGCAACAAGGGCCCGGCGGTTCAAGTCACTGACTGGCAGAAGCAACCTAGCAACCCTGTACCAACTGTAACCCAAACGCGGAACTCCTCGGGCTCAGCGCAGGCGCAGCACTGGCCGGCGCG